ATAAATGCCAGTAAGATCGAATATATGGATTTTTCCAGATTTACTGAATAATAGATCTACCCTCAGCTTTCTTGCTTTGTGGAAATTATAATTTTCTGTAGTTTAGTACTCAACTCTGCTATAACACCCTCAAATAAGAATGGTTCCTATACAGTGTTTTATCTCAATAAATCCATTTCTACAGTGTCTAGTCCCTTGAAACTTAGTGAGTCATAAGGAGGAAATGAGAGAGCAAGGCCTATTGGATAAGAACACAGACTCTTTTGTTTTTAATCCTCACCTGAGGACTTTTTTTTTCATTGCTTTTAGAGTGAGAGGAAGGGAGAAAGAGAAACATTGATGTGAGAGAGAAGCATTGATTGGTTACCTCTAGTACTTGTCCAGATGGGGGATTGTACCCATCTGGACCAGGACTTGAACCCACAATATAGGTATATGCTCTGACCTGGAATCAAACCCTCAACATTTCAGTTGCCAACTGAATGGGAGAAGGTGCCAACCAACAGAGCTACAACAAGAACACAGACTCAAGTGAGGCCAGTTTTGTCACTTAATAGCTGTGTGATTTCAGGCACAACTCACCACTCTCAGCCTCAATTTCTTGATTACATAAAATAGGAATAATAATGACATCTTATTTAAAACACACTTGTATTCTTTTTAATTGGTAATATTCATTGAGATCAGTAGTAATGACTTCTCTAACATCTTCTATATTATACATTCCTTTCAATCATCATAGAATATTTTCCTAATGAACAGTAACAATTTCAGAGTATACCATTATCAGAGATCACTTTCTGGCCATGATGGAGAACTAAAAATAATTCCATAAACATGTTTGAACACAGTAAAAAAGCAAGGATATAGTTTGATTCACAAAGATAACAAACCATGTTCTTCTTCTGGCTCACTTGAGAAAATTCCCTCATGAGATACTTTTCATTTTTCAGCCTCACTCTGTTTCTTCTACTTCCTAAATTTAAAAAAGTAAATAAAAAAGTGTGTGTGTGTGTGTGTGTCTAAAATCTCTCAAACACAGAATTTCTCTCTCTTTCTAACATTATCCAAACCACAGGAAAATCACATTTCATTGAACTTTCTCCAAAACACCCAATACAAGTCTAATCCTTTTAACATGTCTTTCTAAAAAAAATCCTCTTGTTTACATGCCCCAGGATCCATGTGGTATGTGGTTACCTTCATTTAAAGAAGTCATACACAACTTTTTTTCACTACAGTTATGGTTCTGATGGTATTTGGTGAACAGCAATTAAGAGTTTGAAAAAGAAATTACTTTTTTTTTGCCATGTTATGGTCCAGTAATATCAAAAAACTTAGTTTTCCACCTGAGTAGGGAAAAATCCAGTTCTTCCCAATTGTTTCTCTCCTATTGTCTTCTTTACCACTCACACAGAACACTCCACTTCTGACACTTCCAGTCATGAAATGTGTGGAGATTTTTCCTCACACCAAGTAATTTTCTGTGACACAAGCTGGCTGTCTTATAATTCAACTCAGCTCTGACACTATCTACCTGAAGATAGTGTCAGATACCATAGGTTAAAGGCTCATTCTCACAAGACTGTTCCCCTGCCTAATTTCCACTTTCCCATTTCAGATGCTAATTGCAAGCCCAGGTTGTCACCCGTGCTTCTGATCAACTGGCTATAGATAGAAGGTTCAATTGACCCCCTCTTTGGGTTTGATTAATTTGCTACAGTGGCTCTTAGAACTCATGGAAATACTTATGTTGACCAATGTATTAAAGAGCATGATAAAGTATATACTGTAAATGAACATACCAGATAAAGAGAAAAATAGGGCAAGGGCTGATAGGGTCTTGAGAATAGGAGATATTTTGTCCCTGTGGAGTTGGGATGTGTCACCCTCTGAGGGTGGATATGTTCATATATTTGGAAGATTTCCAAACCCCACAACATCAGGATTTTTGTAGAGGTTTCCTCTTGTAGGTATGATTGTTATTACTCTATTTCCAGCTCATCTCTCCTCTGTGGAGGATGCGGACTGAGTCTGAAAACTCTAAGCTTCAATCTTGGTTTGGTATTTGTGGTGACCAGCTCCCATCCAGGAACCATCCAGGAGCCCATCTAAAGTCTTTCATGAAACAAAAGATGTCCCTGATGATATTATCAGTTAGGAGTCTATCAGGGTTTTAGAAGCCCTGTGTCAGGGACATGGTCAAAGACAAATGTTAGATCAGAAGACACTGTTATTGCTCTTATCACTTAGGAATTTACAAAGGTTGTAGGAGCTTTGTGCCTAGGACTGGAGGCAGATTATATATATATATACACATTATATACACACACACACATATAATTTAATTATATTATATATAATGTGACAATTACATATTAAAATATATAAATAAAGATGAGATTGAATATATGTATTCTCTCTTGTAGGTCTATATAAGTAAACTCTGATCCCATCAAACACTAATTTTAACCTGCCAAAAAATTCAGAAGAATAGTAAAATTAATGAATCACTAAAATGGTAATTAGTAAAAGTTTATTGTACACATACCAAAAATACAGTTTGCAAGCCTGAAGCACCCAACCAAAACATGGGATGAAGCTAAGAGTCATATTGTTATAAAGCAGCTTATATAGCATGGAAGCTGTGACTTCATTCTTCACAATGATTGGTTACTATATTAGAATTTTATTTTATGAGAGGGGATTGGTTACTAATTATCTCATAAGAATTTGGAATAAAAATTTGTTTCACTTATGATTTTCAAATGTAAAAGGAAAAAGTAATGTAAGTAAAGTAGCCTTGCTTGTCATGTAAAATAAGCTGGATTAAGGTTTGTTTGTACACAGAGAGTTTTCAAGTCTGGTCTCTCTTTGATTTTAACAAACCCAACCTCTCTACATTGCAAATTCTCAAATAAAGAATTATGTTGGGGGAAATTTAGCACACATTTTTTAAAACAGTGTTATTGTAAGATAAATTATAACAATGATAAAAAATACACTCTCTATTGGAACTAGGCTCTTTTGATGCAGAATCACACAGGGACACTTGGCTCAATAAGAGGGAGGAATTTTCTCAGCTACACTCATTCCCTCGCATATTTAAAACCTTCAATTCAATTCCTGCCTTATATTTAATGGGTCACTCATACCCCTGGATTTTAATTCTCTTCAGAAATCCTTGATAGCCTTTATTGCTTAGGGAGATCCAAGCAATTTGGTTAATTATCCCCAATCATATATGTAAAAAGGTGAATGGCCCCAAATCCCACAAAATACAATTCCTCCACAAAACCTGCCACAAATGCTCAGTGTCATAAAGACCTCTGTCAGCTGGTCTCTAAAAGAGTTCACCATTCTCTCCTATAGCTTTCTGATCCTTTAAAACCTAATCACATTTCTGATTACTACCTGAAGCTTGTCAGGTAGTTATGGATTAATAAGTCCAAGTAATGCTCACTCACATCCCTTAATTTTAAGCACCTCAATTGATTAGCCTAAGACAGAAAATCGTATTAAAAGTATGTCAGCTACTCAAGACAAGAATATATGCATAGTATCCTGAAACAGCTTTCTTGGTCCCTAGAATCTCTGACATGATCCTCCAGCTAAAAACTAATTCTTGTATATATCTGTGTTTTTATACTCAGATGTTATATCAATGGTTAAATATCTTACACTATTCAACTTCAATTTGAGGGAATAATTGAAAACATTAGGCTCATATCAGTATTAAAATTAAAAAAACAAAAAAAGATTCAATGCCCAGGTGACCTTGAAAAATAATTTTTGTATCCTTCAAAGCTATTTGTCTGAAGAACCTTATTATCTATCACAAATCTGACACTGTTCTGTCCCCAATTTAAAACCTTTATTTATCAACTAAACAAGTTTTGGGCATATAGCAATAAACTACTGATTGAGTAATTAAGTGCCCTAATTGTTTTTCTAATAAATTTATATATATTTAATATATTTTAAATATATATATATTTTAAATATATATTTATATATTTTTATATTTTATATATTTTTATATATTTTAAATATATATTTATTTATATAAATAAATATATATAAATTTATTAGAAAAACAATTTATAAATATATATAAATTATATATATGAGCAATTAATCTAAGGATTTTAAGTAAAACCTAAATAAATAAATTTTAAAAAACTAAATAAAATTAACTTATATATTTGTTTTTTCAATAACTTAGAAGTGCATTATATTTTATGTGTATTGACATATTAGCTATTGCCCCTTTCCCTTAAAATGCAAACAAAAAAACTTTCAGATCAAAAAACCTAAATTAAAATAACATATACTCATTTTTTGATTAACTTACTAAATGAACAATAACATGCTGAGATAGCAGGAAAGTAAGGAAAATCTCTTGAAACTAAAAATGACAAGAAAGTACCAATACAGAGCACTAAATGAAGTTAAGTTCACTGTAGCCTTTGACCCTGTTTATCCTAGTGGCTGAGAGCCAAAGTCTTCAATCCTCAGTGTATGCTTCCAGATTGTACTAAAGCTTTCTGGTGGATGTGAACATGAGCTGCAACTTTAAGCAAATCACTTTTCACATTAACTTTCATCTGAATGTTTTTCTAAAACTCACCTGCTTGAGAATGTTTTTGTGGTCTCAGTTCTAGTAACTTTGCCATTTCTAGTTTTTTCCAAAAAAAGAAAAAAATTTAAAAAATCTAAATCTTAACCTACCTGAGTTTGATTGCATTACATTTTTCAAGCACGTAAACAAAGCTGCTGAAGAGTTTTAAAGAATAAAAAGGAAAAGGAATTGGAAAAGGGAAGGATAAAAAGATAACGTTAAAAAAAAAGAACTAAAACATTCAAACCAAAACAAATATCCAAAAAGGACAATCCAAAATAATCTTGTCTGACCAATCTCCATAATCAAAGAACTGCCATGGCTACTTCTTTTGCATGATTTCAAATAAGGGAGGTGAAAACATTTCCATTTTTTTCTTGCATATCCCCCCCATTCACTATACAGACCAGGCAAAGGGTCTGGGCTGAAGTGTAAAGGGGCTGATTACTCTGTCTCCTCTTTCTGTACAGTCAGTGTAAGAACACAGCCCCGTGGTAAGCGCTGGGAGGCCTTCATTTTCTATGAGATAACAAAGTTATATCTTGCATTCAAAAAACATAAATCAGAAATAAGGTAACTTACACATTTATTAGGACTTTTAAGCAGAATTTTCATTAAATGTTGGCAATAGATTACTGGGCACTGAGAATTTTTATGCATTTGTTTTTGATTGGGTGCAAGTTGGTTCACTGTCACTAGTCAACTAATTGTATCCTTGTTTATTTGTGTATTCATGTACTTCTTTATTTTATGTTAATCTAATTGGAACATGTTGAGATTCCACTGTAAATAATGTACTTTATAATAATTGTTAAGTCATGTTTTGTAAGACCTTAATTTATTGGTGGCCCATTATTCTTGCCATTTGCTGTTAATTTCCACTGAACCTTGCTTTATTCTGACAATAAGTCATATCCATCTATGAGTACATGAATTAATTTTAAGAGACCTATTCATCTCATTAACTAGTACATTTCCAGTAAAATTTTATTTTTTATGTTTTAATCAATTGTGTACTATTAATAATCATACAGTAATTTAATACAAAGAAATGTATTAACATTTAGAGCTTTATAGGAATTGAAAAATCAATTTCAATTTATAAATATAATTTACTTGAAAAGAAGTATAATGGAGAGAGCCACAAAATATAGCATAATAGGATGAATTTCTGTGTAGGAAACACAATGCAACTATGAGTTGGTGAAAGAAGACACAGGGTTGACTGAAAATGATTTAAGGCACTCACAGAGGATTGCTTGGATCATGACCTAAGTGGAATTTTTTATTTCTTTTCTCAAAAGGAGAGGCTATATCAGAAATGAGTTTCCTTGGTGCTTTCTAGCCTTTATAAGTGTCTGCATTTTCCAATTGGTCTCAAACTTCCAAGTGATATGCAGCTGGTATTCCAGATATTTTTCATAAGATACTGTCATTTAAATCCAGACTTGCAGTGTGCAAGTTATTCATATGACTCTTCACTAATAAGGTTGTTCTCACTTCTTTCCTGTAAAGAGAAAAATGGAAGAGAATCTCTATCCACTGGAATATAATCTAAACTGCATGTATCTCTCAATAGGATAATCAGAATACAGGAGCTCATGCCTTCTCTGTAGCTGACTTTGGCCTTGTTAGCTTTCTCCACCTGAAATGTATCGCTAACCTGCACCATAGATTGCAGAGTCTTTGCACAACAGTTGGGGCTGCATGTGGGACCATCTCAGCATAGAAAACAATGTAATAATAATTATGAATGTTGAAATATAACACTGTAATATACTTTTATATGGGTAATGGTAGGTATAATCTCAATATTTATTTAACATTTTTAAAAGAGTAAAGTAACAGTTTTGTTCTAAAATTTCAGTATTAAAACACAAGAAATTAGAAATTTTGCATCCATTTAATATTTAGGTTAAAAAAATTAGATATTATAGATTTACAACTTATCAAAATTTTTATGGGTATGGAAACAGAAGTAAAATTTGATGAGCAATAGTTTAATTATATAATTTTTAATTGATCATGTAAGATAGGAGGTATGGTTATGGAAAGTTTATAAAACATGGAGAAAATCAGAACGGCGAATGACCACGTGTTTAATGAAAACATGAATTAGAACAAGAGAAACCAAAAAAGAAGACTCAAAGATAACTTGCATGACTTAGTTTTATTGTTTTAGGTAAGTTTATCTTCTCTTGAATTTATAACCACAGACTATCTTTCATGTAGTGTTACAACTGAAATCATGCTTCCAATGTAATCCCAAAATCTCCAGGCTGAGGATATTGCTGAAAGTGATTTCAGGTTGATGGCACTCCAGGTACGCAACAGAAGCAAATTGAAATACTCTCTAGAGGAGCATACTTTAAAACCAGCCTCAAAGAATTTTCTCTTATAAATCACTAAGAAATGTGGGCTTTTAATATGAAGAGGCAAGATATCAATATCAGAAATCAAAAGTAACAACTCAAAAATGGAGTGATTTTGTGAAAATGAAAATATTGGCATTATTAAAAAGCAAATAAAACAAATGTTTAATATGATTAAATAAAGTAAAAACTTAAGGTACAAAATAAAAACAAGTGACTATAAATTAAAAATTCATATTTGAAAATTATTAGATGGGACAATATAATTATTGAAATCAAAAACTCAAGCAATAGATTAAAGGAAAGGTAGATACAGATTTATGAAGAAGTGTTTCAAGATTCATCACAGAGAAAAATAAGGAAAATATGAAAGAGCAATTTGAAAATATGAAAAAGTGAGATTTACATCCTTTATAAATGAAGTTTCAGGAAGTGATAGGAAAAGAAGCTCAGGAAGAGGCAATATCCTAAGAGACAACATTAAAGATATCCCAGAATTGGCAACAGGCATCTATTCTCAGATACAGGAAGTCCAATATCCCCCAGGCAAGAACTTTAAAAACTAAGGAAGGAGGTAAGAAAGGAAGAAAGTCTCACCTAAATATATTATTGTATAATTGAAGGATACCAAAAAGAGATAGAAAATACTTTAAGCTCAGAAAGAGAAGACAGACAATATACAAAGGAATAACAATCAGACTGAGTGCTAAATTTATTAACAGCAAAGTTGGATACAAAAGTATATACTAAAAAGCTTCAAAGGCTGAGAGAATTTAACTAACAATCGTAAAATCAACTAAACTATAAACTATATTTCAGGAATATAGTCTAAAAAACTAAGAAATTTGACTATAAATAGAATCACCTAAAGAAACATCTGAAGAATGCACTGTATGGGAAAGAAGGAAAAGAAATAGATCCTAAAGGAAAGGTCTTAGTTATTAAAAAAAATGGTGAGTAAATAAAATAATATACATGACAAATTTAAACATAAAATGATTGAGTGAAACAATGATCATTTCTGGAGATAAAAAACTAAGAACATAATAGTAATATAAGAATTTGTCTTAGGTTTGCAACATCTTATAAAAAGACACTGGACGTGATTTGAGTGCAGATTGTTTGGGAGGCAATCTCAGGAAATGCTGGTAGTTGAATGCGGAACTAAGAGAGGGCAAGATATAAAACCCATATGTGGTGTGCTAATTAGTAAATATTCCCTGTGGTAACTGTGGTTCAGTCTCTCTGGGGTCCTTTGGGAAACTCCATAAAGCACAATGGCAAGTCTATGCACCGAAGGTATGATGTGGATGCAGCCTTTTTTTAATACTTCAGAGTTACCCTCCAGGATGCAGCTGCATACTGATATACTCATATATATGAGGACAATCCCTGAAGATAAAGAGCTATCCAAAGAGTGGTCACAGAGTGTTTGGATCACTGCTTATCACCACCAGCCAGATTGGAAAATCTCATGATTCACTTTGTACAATGCTAAGAGAGGTTCAATACTGGGGACTACATAGTCCTAGACAGCACTGCCCTGGTCCTGCCTAAGAAATCTTAAAAGCAAAACCAAAAAGGATGAAGCTTTTTCTAAGAAGTGAAATAGCATCCCAGAAACAAAGGTAAAGAATATTCATAGGAATACATCAAAAAAGGTAAATTTCACAATGTCTGCCATGGGAACAAATTCAGTGCTGAGAACAACTATGCATCAGCAATTCAGGCATGGATCTGATTCAGGTTCTCTTACAAGCTAGGGGACTGCCTGCTGCACTCCAGTTATCTTAAAGCACAACTAGGGAAACAGTTCTTTTCCAAGTTCACATGATTATTGGCAGGATTCGGAACAATACCTTGCAGGCAACTATTGAACTGTTGGCCTCAGTCTGTTGGGTAGAATCTGCCATCAGTTTCCTTCCACATAGGAGGCTACAAAATTGCTGCTTGCTTCTTCAAGACTTGGAAGTAAAGAAGGCAATAAAGAGAGTTTGCTAGCAAGACAGACATTACAATTTTTAGTAACTTAATCAAGGAAGTAACATTCTATCACTTTGCTATATCTGGTTTGTTAAAAGCAAGTCATTAGGTTAGCATGAACCCAGGGAGTGGAGATATACAAGGAAGTGAATAATAGAGGCAGGGATCTTTGAGGCCATTGGCCCATGGCACAAACATATAGGGATTAGGGAACCACAATCAAAAAAGAAAAAGAGAGAGAGGAATAAATCTATCCAAACCAATGAAGAACAGACACAATAGCAGAGAAGTCCAATAAAACAGCTATTATGACTATATTACATATGTTCAGAAATTACATAGAACAAAGGAGGATATTAAAAAAAAGACCAAATCTAATTTCAAGTGAAGAAAACTACGAGGCCTAGATGAAAACTACATTGAAGGGGATTAATGACAGACTGGACAATACAAAAAAAAATTTAGTGTTTTTTAAGTTATAGCAATAAACTGTGTTCAAATTGAAATATAAACATAAATTTAACAATCTAAATAAATAAACAAACAAAGATAACACCAGTGAGCTTCAGGACAAAATAATTTTGGGAAAAAATGTCAAAATTTTTCAAATCTGACCAAACCTCAATAATATTCAAATATAAGAATCTCAGCAAACCTCATCCAAGCACAAGACATATCAAGAAAACTTCAATAAGGCATATCACAATCAATTTTTTTCAAAACTGGTCATAAAGTCACATGGGTTCCAATCTAGTTTGCAGTGACATGGCTAAACACACCAAGAAAGTTGGAATAGTCATAAATAGGGTACCCATTATGGCGCCTCCCTCAGGAAAGTGGTGAAGAAAATTTGATCGACCTGCACGCCAAGTACACTTGCACCTTCTGTGGCAACATACCAAGATGAAGAGGCGAGCTGCAGGGATCTGACACTTTGGTTCCTGCATGAAAACAGTCGCTGGTGGTGCCTGGCCCTACAACACCTTCCCTGCGGCCACCGCCAAGTCTGCCCTCAGAAGACTGAAGGGACTGAAAGACCAGCAGAAGCTCCCCAATTTGATACATTCCTAGTCTATAATAAATGGGTTAATTTATGTAACAAAGTTAAAGAAACTGGCGATAGACAATCATAAAAGCAGCCAGAATAAACATACTG